GGACTCGAGCAAAATTTCCCAACTAATGATATCCCTGGTGGCGCTCCTTCACCTTTTGACGGCTGCAGCGCCCACGTCACTTACTGACGATTTGCAAAGTAGGTCAGTGTCTGAGATTGCGGTCTATATTGGTTGTACACTATTTCTTCCATCAAAGGGGACCCCGCCCAACAGGCAATCGCGGAAAGTTTTTTTGTGGAAATAGGCTGATAAACACGCCAATGTTCAAATGCTTCGAAACGAGCCATTAGCCGACCCCTATGTGAAAACTTTTTGGTCAGCTTCCGGGACCTGAATTCCGGATAACGCGCGTGGCGTCACGACTAAAGGTGGTGCCACTACACCACCTTCAGTCGATAGAGAAATAAAATAATTATCAAAAATTTCTATGAGAAAACACGGAAATATATTCAAGAATTAAAAGTTATTATTACTATAGGGAATCAAGTAAACCAACCTACAATAACGCTTGATACGGTTTTGTACATATGACACGAAGATGCACGTTCCTCCTCGCTTTCGTCTTCAAGCAGTTCGTCCGGAATATATTTTGCCACCGATATTTCACTGAAATAAGGGCATATTTATATTGATCGCAAAAAGGCGACCACAGAAAGGAAGGGCTGACTATAAAAAAACTAGTCGTAACTTTCGATACTTTAGTAGAGCAGTAACTAAGATGCGAGAGGAGATAGCGGAAGTGTGAAGGAAGGGTAAACATCGAATCTCATAAGTAACGTTCAGTTGGATAACAAGTTCAGCTCATCGCCTCGTCAAATTAGCCCTTAACCCCGATGGGAATTCTGGTTTCCAGTGCAGCTTCCATAGTGCAACCGTATCAGCACTTTATGAATCGTGCAGTTCTTAGTCTTCCAGAAAAAGGCACTATCATATGATGCGAAGGCAATCTGAACCCTCTCGTACTACCACCAGTACATTTACTATCAAAACCCGCTTCTGCGGAACTGTGGCGATCAGTGTGCCCCTAAGCTTTTAGGATTCGCGATATCCTGCCAAAAATCTCGTAGCGCAAAAACTGAAACGTACGGCTGAAAAAAAGAGAGCAAGCCATCGACAACGCCCTAAATAAGGCCCTTTTTATTCCATGTGGTATGCAAAGAATCGATGAGACTCTCGAGTGAGGGGTGCAGCTAGAGAGCATGCAAACCAGGGAGACGACAGATGCGACAGCTGACAAGCAAACACGTGCCTTAACGTCTCTACCTTAGAACTTCCTGATGCAAAATGTGAAGGGTTCCCATAGCGCTTACGCTACCTTTCCTCACAAGGCGCTTTGATTCAAGATCGCGGAATAAGCCTCCCAAAAACATTTTGCGAGTTCTGTAAGAACCGAGGGCCTGCGAGGGAAATGTAGCGTAAACTGTGATGAGCAATCGCGTACCAGTTTTGCTTAAAAAAATTTGAGGTAGAAGTGCTACGGCGCACAGTTTCTCAACTAGCTCAGGACTTCGCCCTGTGTTAGTGGCTGCTGCATTTCTCCAGAAATCTCTGCCTCTCGCTTGCAATCAGCCGCAAAAGAAGAGGGTCCCACTAAGAACATTCGGCGGTCCCACTGCCTCTTCTTCTGACTTAAAGGCAGAATTTGGTACTCGGCCTAAAAGTAGCAGAGCGCTATTAGTGGGGAACTGGCGAAAACCGAAGTGAAACGGTCAAAAACTTGCAAAGAAAAGCCTTCGTTCTTCTTGACAAAAAAAATTTCGGACGAGTTTCCCGTAGGCATCTTGCCAATAACCGCTACGGTAGAACGGCTGCACGTACAGTCCTCATCATTGCGGACCGGTGGGGCGTGTCAGCCAGTATGAGTGTGCACACTGTTGAAGCCGTTCTCAGCCTTTTTGAAACGCGTATGCGACAAAAAGTGGTAGAA